CTCCGTGGCTGGTTCAAAACATTCCATTTCATCACCAGAGAACTTGTGCAGGTTTCCATTCAATAAATTTAGATTTAGTCCTTGATTGATTTTCTTAATCTTATCCACGAAAAACATGCTAAAACGATTCGCTAAATTTATTTTGTTATCGTGAATCGGCAACGCATTGAAATTATTTGTCGAGCCTAGAAGACCATTTACGATCGAAAACAGTTTTCTTTGGTCACCATTACAATCCGCGATCTTATCAGCGAAATAACTCCTACGTGATACATCAATAAGATCATTAACTTTATTTCGTTTAGATTTGGCGATGGACAGTTAAACCAGTATCTTCATCACTCCCGATTTCCTGAACAACAATGTTATCAATCTCTGAATCATCCTTTGTAGAATAAGCCTAGCACCTAACAATGGCATGTGAATTATGAATAGGCCCCACTACTTTTTTCTGCATCTCATCTCTGTCAGTCTTTTTTTAGAACATCACATGTGACAGCTCTAACTTTATCTTGATTCTTACCCTTCCTGGAAACACTGTGGACGTATTTGTCAATCTCAGATGGCGTCATATCTTACAATAGGTGATTTTCCATACAATTGCGAGATCTCGCGAGATGCATGAAAGACGCGCGTCGAACGTCTGCTGCAAAAATCGAACGATTTGATTTTGAACTCGAATTTCCTTATTTCGTAGCTCACACCGACCGGCCAATCTTCGACAGAAGAATATTGCTTCCGAATACCCTTACTTAATCGAAATTGCCTATCATCAAATGTGGACAGCACATTATTAAGCATGGAAATGTCCCCAAAATACTTTCGCGTTTGTCGAATCCCACGCGATGTTTGACGCCACTACGACGCTATGACCTTTGTTTGTCCTGTTTTTACGTTCGATTTCACGCATAACGCGTGATTCTCGCAATGTACGGAAAATGGTCTATTTACAACAATGTCCAACTAGTTATAGTATCTACTAGTATATTCTTTCTCCTTCTTTTGTTGTTGTTGTTGCTGCTGTTGTTGTTGTTGTTGTACTCTATCATTTTCTATGTATTTCTTTTGTGTGTTTTAAACTTTTAGGGTGACATATAACTGTGAACGTGTTTTTTTTCTAAACAGCAAATTCCTTTACAAACTGACATTTAGGAATTACAAATAGCTCATATACAAGATTATGTTATTTACTGTTTTTGATAGTTTTTATTAATAATAATAGATTTTATTTCAAATATATCATATACATTATGATGAGTTTAGTTATTCAAAAATGAAAACTATTTGAGTGCAAGCATTCAAGTTGGTTGTTTATTAACAATTAACAAACACAATAAACTTTACATTTTGTGGAGAAAATAAAAGTTTGAATTTTGAAAGTGTCAAAAAAAAAGTTCATGAACTTGAATGTTTTGTGCAATAAAAATGTACAATAATCTGTAAATATTGTGTCTTGTTTAAACTATGTCCCTTTTTCTTGCACCTAAACGAAATTGATTGCCCCCAGGTCATGGGAAAAAGGCATTCCCCCATTCAATTTTAAAATGCCCCCCCCCCCCCATCCGAAGAAAATGACGAGTTTCTAAACACTAAGCAGATTGTTTATTGATATATTTTTTTATTGTCGTATCGAATTCTGCCTTGTATATATGCTTCGTATCAACTCATTATCGTGTTGCCCTTTGAACGCCAGTAGCGCTTTTCCCATGAGTCCTGTGGGTCCAACATGGTTAATAAGAAGATTATTCGCCACGTATTAGCCTCGCAAAAAAAATGTTTTTAGTCAAATTGTGTTTTTTTTTTCAAAAATGTGACAGTGGGACGTTAACGATGAACAAATTTG